CTATGATTCTATGATTCTATGATTCTATGATTCATTCTCCCAGGCTGCCAGGAAGCTGAACAGTTGACCACACATGCAGCAGCTTCACGGTGTTTCGGCAGTGTGGTGTTTATACATGCCATGCTGCAGAAATGCTGAAAAACCACTGCCATGGTGGCAAAAGTGACTTTTTCCCAGCACAAAAAGGAGTGGTTTTCTGCTGCTTCTTTTTTCACCTGGAAAATGCCAGGTTGGGGGGTGTAGTGTGCTGTTGCCATGGCCCCAAGCCAGCAATCAAAGGGATGGTGGCAAGCTGATCCTCCAGGGCTGTCTGTTTTTGCCCCTCAGTCATCTTCTTAGCAGTCCATTGTATCCATACAACTCTTCTCAAGCAACACATTTTAAATCAGTTGATTATCTGTTGGTATTGTTACTATCCAACTTTCCCACTGTACACAGACATGAGAAATGCTACCATTAAGCATAAATAAAATTTCTTAAATGAATATTTTAAGCATGCAAGTCTAAAAATCCTAAATTTTATCTCATAATATTTCTCTACTGGTAATAATGGCAATAACAAGAGCTGGCATGGTGTAGTGGTTTAAACATCAGATTATGACTCTGGAGACCAGAGTTCCAATCCCAGCTCAGCCATGGAAACTCACTGGGTGACCTTGGGCAGGTCTCTCAGGCTTTGAGAATGGCAATGGCAACCCCCCTTTAAAAAACAATGGACACAGTAACTAATTTAAAAAGAAACAGAAAATATTTGCATATTAAGCAAAAAACCTCCCCCAATCACCAATTTGCATCTCTACATACAAGTAAAAGTGAGAAACAGCACAAAACCAAACCCCATCTTTGTCTATGTAGTGGTAAGAATTAGCTTATTCAGGGCAAAATATGGGCATCACATTCAGAGCGCGTCCACTTCTTTGCATATAATAGTAACAATACCAATAATAATTCAAAAAGCCACACAAAAATAGAGGCTGACTTTTTTCTGTTCCAACATGCAATATTGTACAGTAAGGGAAACACAATCAGCCTTGAAATGCAGAAAACCTTTGAGGTAGGGGAACCTAGCCACTCCAAGCAGAAATATATTCACACCATGCTCATTACCCCATTCCCAAGGGACAAATCCATTCACTACTCTCAGTTTTCCCAGAAGACACACACAGAACATTCACAAATGCAGTGATTCCCAATCAAAAACAAACAAACAAACAAACAAAAACAAACAAACAAACAAACAAAAGCAAACCATGCACAAGACAACCTTCCCCACATAATTCAGCTGCTGTGGACAGTTCTTGTCTCTCTAATTCTCTCTCATTTTACTATAGATGCTTTTATAGTTCTCTGAAAACAGGAAGGGAAGTTCTGGAGGCTTTCTTTTCTCTCTCTCTCTCTCTCTCTCTCTTTCTTTCTTCCTGTCTTTCTTTCCCCCTTTCCCCATCCAATAATGAAGAACTTGGTAGACTCAGAAAGTGATTATGGGAAAAGAATAAGGTACTCCCATCAACGGTGGACCTGGAGGAATTGATAATTTGGCCTTTGTTGACAGGAAGAAAGATGGGCTGACAATGGAGTCATGAGGAGGAAGGTTAAGATCTGGAAAGAGGTGGTGATTCCTGTCATATTAGCATTCTAAAGAGGGAGAGTGTGCATTAGTGAGGACTGAATTTCTTGTCACGGGATATATCCAGTGGTGGCTTTGCATTTGTGAAAAGCATTTTTTGGTTTCATAAGGCTGGAGATTCACATTGTAGCAGTATTTGTGTCCCCTGAAATACTGCTATTGTGATCTGAAAGATCAGCTCTTAAGATTAGAGGGTATAGTACAAAGGATTACTACAGGTAAGAACATCAGTAAAATTTGGGTACATTGTTTTATGTGAGAAGTATTATCTAATAATGCAAAATCTACAATTGGATATTACCAAGTGATTTTTTTTTAATTAACAGGCCTGTTAAATCTGATGGGTATCTAGTTGGGATATGCAGTTAAATAGAAATTATTTTACAAAATGGATATTGGATAATGTCAAAGAATCACCACACCCACTCTGTGACTCCAGCAGATGAAGAAAGGCACACACCCCCCGAAGTGTCGGGAGGGGCCTTTTGTTGCGACGGCCCCATAAAAGGGCACCAACGCATGATTGGCTGAGCAGGCTGGAAGGCCCGCCCTTGCCGGCCTGCTTAGCCAATCAAATTGAGGTCTCGTGAGACTTAAAATCTCAAGAGATTTCAGGCGAGATTTCACGGGGCTGTTTAGCCTCAAGCTGCCATGTGTCAGCAGCCATTTTGGATTTGCAGAAGAGCAAGGTGCTCGTCTGCTAGTTGTGGCTCCAGGGCTTTTTTGGGCCTTACAAGCGGCCTAGCCCCTTTTAAAAACAGGAGCTGAGGAGCTGGGAAAGAGGCGCAGTTTGGCGGAGCCAAGCCGCGATGCGCCTTTTCCCTGGGGGAGATGATCAGAGCGTGGCCTTAGGATCAAGGCCACGGCGCGATACAGGCTGCATGGGAAGCGGCAGTATAGCCCTCTTCAGGGGAGCCTGAGGATGGGCTGTGGAAGTGGCGTGGAGCACGCCATGAGCGCGGCCTTGGGCTCCAGGCCGTGGTTCGTTTGGCTGCATTTCGCAGCCGGTTTTTGGCCTAGCCCTCCTCGGGAAAGCCTGAGGACAAGGGCAAGGGCAAAGAGTGGGGTGCAGTTTTGCCGAAGCAAGCCGTGGCTCCTTGTTTGATGGGGTTTTTGGCCCTCGATGCGGCCTGGGCGGCTGGCTCCCAGAGAGAACCGAGTGGACTTTGGGCTACATAGCCTCCTCAAATCAGTAAGAAGGCCAGAGGGCCAGGCCTTGGTGGTCCTGACAGCCCTATGGGGAAGGGTTTACCCCCCACTACAGGGCAGTCTAGGAGGCATGATTGTCGGGCCCTTGGGGGTGTTGGGAATGCCACCCCCCCACCCCCTCCGCACCCAATTATTGGGCAAGCATCGGGGGAGGTAATTAGCAAACCCCTGAATAAATCTGGCCAAGAAAACTCCTTTGGGACCCTGTATAAGATGTTTTTGGCAATTTAAAATATTTACTTTTAAATAATAATAATAGTGGTTTCAGCACTCTACTACCACTTTGGTGACTATGGTTCCTTTCCCAGCATGGCCATAAAACCTGCTGGGTGACCTTGGTCACATTCTCTCAGCAAAAAAAATTGTTCAAGCCTCGGGGGAGGTCATTAGCAAACCTCTGAACAAATCTTGCCAAGAAAAACCCTTATAATAAGATGTTCTTGGCAATTTAAAATATATACTTACATTAATAATAATAATAATAATAATAATAATAATAATAATAATAATAATAATAATAATAATAATAATAATAATAATAATGCCTCTGATTGGAGAAACAGTGTGCTATAGTGGTTTAAGCGGTGTACTACCACTTTGGTTGACCAAGGTTCCTTTCCCAGCATGGCCATAAAACCTACTGGGTGATCTTGGTCACATTCTCTCAGCTTCAGGAGAATGCAAAGGCAAACCTCTGCTGATCAAATTTTGAGGTATTATAAAGGCAGTGGTTTCTGGTACGGACTGGCCATTTAGTCAAGGCCCGTGCCCCACCCCTCCCATGTACAGTCGCACAAGGCAGCTCAAAAGGCCACACATACACACACACTTCATGAGCTTGGCCTGAGTCTTGGCATTGCTGAGATACACAGGTTAGCTACTCCAACACCAGCCTGATTGGTCTTGGGGCTGGATACAGGAGTGGGGGGGGCACTTTGGGCTTTGTGGCTAGCCTGTGCTTCAGGCAGCCTTTAAGTTTGGGGCACATGTAATTAGAGTGATTCCCATGTTTGGGATTTATATGCACTTCCCCTCAAGAAGGGGCCTGCCGCCCCCTATTATTAAATCAGGTTCCTGGCCTGTGCTTTGACAGTTGCTGATGCGACACAGGCCAGACCTGGTAACGGTGGTATAGGCCTCAGGCCTTGTTTTGCTGTCTCAGCAGGGATGAAGTTGGGCTTAATGTGGCCTGGTGTTCTGCCTGCGGTGCAGATTACATTGGTGGGTGGGGACACGTGCCAGTTATGCTTATGCCCGGATTTGGGCTTCTCTCTTGACCCCCACCTTTTTTCCCTCCCATGCTAGAGGGGAAGTTGGTTCTGGTAAAAGTAAACATTAATAATATTAATATTAAATAATATATTAATATTTATAATTCATCACTGTAGTTAACTGGGGTGACCTGATTGATGAGTGCCCATTTAGGGACTTACTATCCTCAGCCTAATACAAACTGTTTGATTATTTAATTGGCTTATGGTAATAATAATGATAATAATAATGAAATTTATTTATATACTACACCTTTGAGGTTAATACTAATTGTATAATTATTGCTTAAGGATATAGCTTTAAAAAGAACACTATATCCACTACACATTAGTTTGAGGTATTAATAATCCTTTTTAGTCAGTAATGTCATATGACAGGGCATAGTATAAACAATGCACACCATATGCTGACTCTAAGAATGGCCAGTCTGTGCATAAGCGGGCTTTTACTCCTTAAAATAAGGATGAGGAGATTCCTGCACATTTTGCCCAGATTGGTCACACAATACAGTTATGTGTAGAGGTCTTTGAGCAGTTAGTTCAACAAGGGACACAGGGGGTCTAATTTGGGGTCACAGGCTAGTACTTCTTCAGTTGTGAATGGAGGTGTATGTGCACTGCAGATTCTCGGCAACCGGCTGTGACTCATACAACACTCCCGGTGGGCATGGCACGTGGTTCCCCTAATACCTCGACTATGGAGGTTGGGCATCCAACCGTAGCTGATGCATTGGAGCTTGGAAAGAAAGTTCCTGGTGTGTGACAACAGGGTGCAGCTGCCCCTGTGTTGGATCAACCTGCTTTGGCGGATCCATTAAACTTAATTCAAATGGTGATTGTGCCAGGTCAAGGCAATGGGCCGACTCCTGAGATGGTTGGCTTGCAGCAGAGACGTGGCAAGTGTTTATGCGAGACAGCATATTACACGAGCTGCTTCTGTGACGCTTGCAGTGAGAGCTCTGCAAGCATCGACTGATGCTTCACGCTAAGCGAGGAGCTCAGGTTTGATGCATGCTGCTAATTTAGTGGCATAATGGCCCACTTCAGTAAGGGCTTTTGGTGGACATAAGGGGATGAGCACCAGAATTGAGCACCCTATGTTTGCAACACTGGCGACACCCTTGACAAATCCTGGGCTAGCTCAGGCTAGGGATTTGCAGGGTGCAGGGCAAACAGGATCTGGTTCATATGATGGAGATGCAAGGGGAAAAGGCACTAGTGGGAACTTCGGACATTTCTGGGGCTGACAAGGTGGTTGTCTATAATTAATATGTAGATAGCTCCACGCCCCTTGTGATAACTCCTTCTGTTTGCTTTATTGATGAGAGAAAACCAGCTACATCTCAGGAATTCTACAAAGATCAGGAGATAATGATGGGGGCATACACATAGTGCCAATTTAATTCTATGGGGTCTGCTTGGGGGCAAAACATGAACATTTCAGCAATCCAAGTAAGTGGTGGAGGCAGCCCCGCAGGTTTGACCATAAATGTAATACTGGCTTGCCAATAGGGGTGTGACGGCCCCT